AATGATAAGCAACAGCTAAAAAGTAAACGTAAGTAAACAGCCAGAAATAGAACCAGAGCTTTCGGACAACACTAGTCCTTCCTCAGTGGCGAGTGAGTGAGGGTAGAAAAAGCTAGATGGTATAAAGTGAGAATTTCATGCAAGCATGATTGGAAACAATAGGCTGGGTGAGGGTGAGACAAAGAAAGGTTCAAGATTGCTATATCCAACCACCTAAGGAATACAGAACGCTAAGCTACAGCGCCACCACCCCTTCTCGCTTTGCTCCTTTTAGGGCGTTGAGGAGTACTCATCCACATCCATATCCAGAAATACTCTTTTTAAAAAAATTTAGTCTCATGCACTCAGTTTGCCTTGATTCCCGTCCGAAGAATTTGTACACAGCTATTATATATATATATATATATATATACTCTTCTCGCCTCCCAGTAGTGTGTAATACATGATGAAACATTGTGGGATAGCACAACTCTATACACATTTTAAAAATAATTTTGCTGATTTCTTTAAGACAAACCTCATTTTTAATTACCTCGTTTTTAATTGGCTAATTATAACTTTGATTTTAATCTTATTAGTCGGTTTTTATTTGCTTTCTGTTCTACTTCTGTAAATATTGTAAACATATATGGATGGGTGAGATTTTCTCAACAGTATTCTTAAAAATGATCAAATAGATTGAAACGTTGAATCTCAAAACTTTCCAAAGTTACTGTCTTTTTGTTTTCTTAAAACTAATTAGTGGATCCTCTTGTTTTTAGAGTGCTAGAGTTTCCCTTGTATTTCAAAATTGTACACAATGCTTATCAACACATCGTTAATCAGGGATGCAAGATGACGCTGTGTATAAACAATTGATAAACATTTACTCATGAATTGGTGGGTAGAAAAACGTAGATTAACATTTCCAAATCGTCATTTTTGTTCTTTTTGGAAAGCGTATACACACACCTTCAACCCCCTCCCCTCAGTATACGTTTTGTACGCTCAAGAAAATTATAAAAATATTTAATGACCCCTAAGCGTAAAAATGCATTTTTGGTTTAAAAAAAAAATCTTTCCTACCGACTTACCATTTTTTTTTTATTTTCCCAAAATGTAGCCAACACAAAAATTTATTTTTTTTGGCCTAACTTACAGTAGGCCCTCATTGCAATAATTTTAAAGAAAATAAGTTATTAAACCACTTTATATACTGTAATATATTAATAATAAAACTTTACTTTTTTCATAAATAAGTTGATTAAATTGCTAACTTTGAAAAATGATATTGGGATGTAATAATTGATCAATGTTAAATTGAAAGTGTAGTTTGATTGACCCATTGTAAATTTAACATACACTGCCTAACATGTCCGTCCGTAACGCAGATATATCTGTCTCTAACAATATTTTAATTAGTAGCTTTAATTGAAATTTTATGTCAAGAACAATTGTACTATACATCTACATAGATCTATATATGCCCAAGGAGTTCAGTATAAATGGTAAAAATGTTGTAAATTCAAAGTATATGAAGGAAAATTACGCCCAAGTGCGTTACGGATGGACATTTAACATGCGGTTTTATTATTATTTGAATATTTCCACCAATTTACTGATAGATTTTATGAGAAAAAATTAGCTAAACATAAAAATCTTGAGTATAATTCATTTCAACCTTGTTTAACATAAATTGGCCATCAAAATGTATTTTATGCGGCATGTCCGTCCGTAACATGTCTGTTCATAACAACAACGGACGGACACATTTTTAATTAAATCTGTAATTAAAATTTGAACGTCAACAAATGTTTTATTAATTTATTTTGTAATTATCAATGTAGTAGAGATAAGTTAATATGTTTTTTTAATTGTAATCTATTGTATAGAAGCATGAATAAATATTATTAATTTGCGTTATGGACGGACATCTTAATTTTGGACTACAGCTAATTAGGTATTTTTACTAATTACCAGCAATATTTACTAATTTTTCATGTATATTCATTAAGACATGTTTCACCCTTATATTTACCAGTAATCAAAGAATCTGAAAGGTTTAAGGACTTTTATATAAAATATACATTCTTCTATTAAAATGTCCGTCCGTAACATTCATATTATGTATCCCCTATATAAAAAGTGGTATGATCCCAGAATGCGGAGTTAAAATTTCATGATTTTTGTTTTGTTCCTACTACAGATACTAGCCATTAATTTTATTAATTTTAAGTGAGAAATGATTTTTGACAATATTGCAACGCCTAAATGGATTTTACTCACATCGTTTGTAAAAAACATTGTTCAAACTTTCATATTTTGTATATTTTTAATAGCTTAGAAAAATTTTGTGTTGGTCATATTGAAATGACTACAATTCTTTTGCTTGTGGCCAGCAATTTATTGTGAAAGTTTTCTATTCTAATGGGAACACCATAATTCTAAACCACTTTACTTTATGTCTTTAAAATCCTCTCCTGCCATATAATCACTAGTACGTAATAGTTATTTAAATTAAGAACTGTTTGCTTTTTTTTTTACAGAACTTGTTGATAAATGTATTGGTTCAAGAATTCACATCATCATGAAAAGTGACAAAGAGATAGTTGGAACCCTGCTAGGTTTTGATGACTTTGTCAGTATCCTTTTTATATTCTCATTGATATGTCATATTGAACTTTTCACTTTGTGTATGTGCATATTTTATAAAGTTATTAAAGCATAGAAACATTGATATTCCGAACAAATGGACACCAAAATTGACTTTCTACCACCAATGGATGCGGAGGTATAATGAAATGTGTTAAAGGTCAGAAACAGCATTTCCAGTTATTTTTTAGCATAAGCCTAATGTTCTATTATAGTAAAAAGAAACATTCATGTTCCAAACAAAAATTAACTCTCTACCACCATTGGTTGCAGAGATATGTAACAAGCCTATGGCTTTGACCTTTTATTATCCCAAATAAAAAATGTTCAATTCCAAGATTAGTATATAATACAATAATTATTGTCTGTAATAAACAATCAAAAGCTAAGCTTAAATGGGAAAAGGCACTGGATACCACATACACGGATAAAGAGTGGGAAACCATTAATAATACGTCCTTATTCACCATGTCTACAAAATTAATTTGGTTTACAAATATTACAATCCATTTACTTAAAAATTTAATTTAAAATGAGAAAAAAAATATACACAATCATCAAAATTTGCAAATTTACATATTAAAAAATCCCCAGAAAAAAAATAAAATAAAAAAAAAAGAAAGGAAAGAAAACATTTTTTACACACACAAAAAATACACAAAAGAAAAAAAATGCAGATACAAGACACCAGCAAAGGAACTTAAATTAAACAAAACCACAAAACAAAACAAGCAAAAAAAAGTTAGCATCACAAAAACCACAACCACCAAAAAACATATATACGAGATTGATATCAATTACTGCACTGAAATTTAATGTAATTAGCAATGTGTTTACCTATACTTATTTAGAATTTTACAAAAAGTTAGAACCGGAGAATTTCTGAAATGGTTAATCCTGCCAAAAGGTATATGCGCATCTTAATGTCACTGTTGTCTCCTGATATGAGATATATATGTATCAACTTTCATTGACAAATGCCTGTTGGTGAAGGAGTATTGATCATTCATAATATTTATCATATATAAAAATTCAATTTTTTTTTACTTCAGATGGCAATATGGTGATGTCACAATGTCCGATCAGCTATTATGATATATAAAATCATATCTACAGCTCATATGCTTTCAGAATATGTAATAAAAGTTAGGGGTCACCTTTCATCCTAAGGGGCTATAACTGATTAAAAAAAGACATGATATAAAGCATATATTAATTTTGACGCGCGCACAAAAATATAATGTATATAACATTTAACCATGACCTGAAGTTTATACCCACTAAATATAATTCAGAAATCACGACTGATTAAGGTGATTATGGGGTCATTAAAGGCTGGACGAAAGAAAGATGAGGGGGGTAAGCAAAACCTTATATTTTGACCATGATGACATCATCAAAATGTAAAAAAATGCCAAATATATGAAAGAGAATTGTCTCAGCTACAACATACTCAAAGTTGGAAGACAATCGATCAAGAATAAGCGAGATACGCTCAAATGCGCATTTGCTAAAATGAGGTCATCGATAATATTCAGTTCGTTGAATTCAGATGGCAATATGATGATGTCATAATGTCCGATCAGCCATTATGACATATAAAATCATATTTACAACTCATGTGCTTTCAGAATATGTAATAAAAATTGGGGGTCACCTCTCATCCTAAAGAGCTGTAACTGTTTAAAATTAGGCCTGATTTTAGCAAAATTTCACTGTATATCGGCACAAATGCGCTCAAAGGTCACTATGTTTGATGCGTGCGTACGGCATTGTTATTGGCCATAGAGTGATTGAAAAGATTGGAAACTTGTCCAAAGAATGTCAAGAACCCAAAATGTGACAAAAAAAAATTTACTTCTAACTTCCATACGTGCTGCGTGCGTAAAAATGCGCACGCATAGTGGTAAATTTCAAAAAATTTTGAAATGCTCAAAATGACCTGAAACGTGCTCTAATATAATCTAAATGTGATTTCGAGCATTTTAAATGTCTGACGCACGCGTATGCGCGTGTTATGACGCGCTCGCCTAAATTTACGGTAAATTACATTTAACATTGACTTGAAGTTAATGCTCACTTAATACAATTTCGAAATGGCAATTGGTTAGGCTGATATGATCGATAATGTAAAAACGCAAAATTGCGCATAACTGCGCACTTTGAAAACCTTATTGTGACTATTCCAGGCCAAGCTAAATGTTTGTTGAAGCGTGCATGTATGAAGCTCGTCCCAATTTTTAGATATCGTGCTAACAAGAAATGGGAAAAAAAAAAAGATCTGACGATAACAAGAGGTGATCTGCTAGCGGAGCGGATCACCAATTATGTGGCATTTAAAAGGCTTAGGGACCATAGAGTTATTGTGGCACCACTGAGTAAGATTATTTAGGCAAGACTGAAGTTTAGGAGCATTTCCACGCATAGTCGTATCAACAAGAGTAAGGTCATCTACATACTTCCACCGTCTGCAACTTTCCACAGATATATCATTTACAAGTAGCAGGAATAAAATCGGGCCTAGTTTAGTTCCCTGTGGAATACCACAGGTAATATCAACATATGGGGAGAGAGAAGAATTGAATTTTGTATTTATTTTACAATTTGAAAGAAAGCTGCAGATGATGGGGATGATAGATGACCTCACTCCAGTATCAATTAACTTCTTAATAATAACCGTATGGTCGACAAGGTCGAAATGAGATAAAATATCATGTAAAACAAGGAGAATATATTTTAAGAAATATGGGAAAGATGACACTTACCTAAATAAATGGGGTTCTCTATTGGAAAAACAAGAACTGGCTGACTGGTAACTCATTATTTCTGATATAACATGTTATGTTGAAGCCATGTTTTGTGAAAATATGCACTGTAATAATGTATTACATTTGAATAAATAAATATGTAGAAAAAAAAATGTTTGTTGGCAGAATGCAAGATGGTAATAAGAAGACGGAGCCTATAATTATTTGGTACGTGTGTGAATAGACTAATTGGTACTGGTACTGGTACGGGCATTTATAATGCGCCTCTTCCTTGCGGTTATAAAGCGCAGTTCCTTTCCCTGGTCATTGGGTCCACATGCTAAGTGTTGCAGCTGGTAATCAGCGCAGGAGCAGGCAACCTCACCAGGTACCCATTTATACTCCTGGGTGGAGAGAAGCAACGCAGATAAAGTGTCTTGCTCAAGGACACAAGCAAAATGCACACCGAGGGATTGAAACCCCGACCTCGAGGTTGGGAAACCAAACTGTTCCCGCTGCGCTAAACCGCTTCTTACAATTCCTCATTTGCATAATTAATATTTCACTTATCAAGAAATTTACATCATAACTAAAGTTTGGTAAATCTGATTGGTGTCAAACTTGATGGAATGCAGGATGGTAATAAGAAGAGCAAGACTATTGTTTTTGGTACATGGATATGCTAATTGCTCATTTGCATAATTAATATTTCACTAGAATAGGAAATTTATGCTAAATTGTATTTTAGTTGTCATTTCTGGCAATTTCGTGGCTGTGGAGAGGCTAACTTCATTTCTCAGAGGATTTGTCTTCAGTGAGGGTTGGATAGGGGTGTCCCTAGCGAAAATGTGGGCATAATATGTGAGAGCCCTAAATCCAAAATGGCCGCCTTCTGCCATTTTTAGCCCACTTTCTGAGAGAGAGGGCTTATATGATGATTCTGAGTGAATTTTGAAGTCATTTGTTTTTCTATCTCCTTCGTTTGTGACGCAATTAGGCCGATCTTGCAATAATATGGAAGATAAGACGTAGGGAATTTAATGTATGAAGAGTTTTTGCAAAAATATTGTCGGGAAATATGTGAAAAGTATATTTTTTTAATTATATTTCTTAACACTACGGTGGGTTTCCTATGAAAGCGTGTTCGTCATTGATCAGATTACAAATCGCCTGATTCCACATTGTGTTTATCAACCAATCACGGCCTGGAATGGTAAGCTTTGCAGCTAATAAATGCGTCTGCACGAGTCTAGTTGGCAGCAAAGAATGAGCCATTTTGTGGTGCTTGCAAGGGTGGGTGGTCTCTCCCCTGAGAGATAAACAATGTACACTACTGTAATGCAGGCTGGCCTAGAGCTAGAGGAAGACGAACTAGGCCTATAGGTTGGCTAGGTAGTACGTGTGTGTAATAGATCAGATAACAGGAAATGTAGGCTACAAGTTGCTTTTATGTGTATTAGACCACATAATATTCAAATTAGTTAGTAGCGATGAGTGTATGTGTGCAGCACATTTCGTGTCAATGTACTGTAATGCAGGCTGGCCTGACGAAGACGAATAGGCTGGCTGGGTACGTACGTGTGTGTAGGCATAGGCCCTAGTCTAGATCAGATACTACAGGAAATAAATGTAGGCTAGAAGTTGCTTTTATGTGTATTAAACAGCACATTCAAATCAGTCAGTAGTGATGAGTGTATGTACAGCACATTTCCTGTTGTCGCACTGTGCTGTGGTTGATGATGAGGACGTTGCCATTATATGGTGTACGGTAAGAATGGCCCCGGAAAAAAGACCATAGATTAAAAATAAGTAAGGCGTAATAATAATAATTTATTGGCTCTCTCTTTCAAAGCAGAGGAACACTCTCACGCAGGAGAGGTTTGACCATACAACAGAACAAAAGTTACAAGTAAAGATAAATTCATAAAAAAAGAGACAATAGTAATGAAAAATCCAAATCCAATTAAAATAATATAATATTCTAAAGTTTAAAATCGTAACTAAAAGGGAAAAAAAAATAAATAAATAAAAAAAAAATAAAATAAAATTAGATTTGAACTCGTCACTGAGGACGAGTTAGGTGATACGCCGCACTTTGACCCTCATGAAGATCACGCGGTGCTGATTGAAAAGTGTCATAATATGCTAAAATATGCTGTAATTAGTTTTTTTTAAAAGAATAATTTTGAGCATTTTAAAAGATTTCTGCATGTGTACACGTACGTCTTAACGCCCGTGAGTAC